GTGTGTGTGTGTGTGTGTGTGTGTGTGTGTGTGTGTGTGGTGTGTGTTGTGTGTGTGTGTGTGTGTGTGTGTGTGTGTGTGTGTTGTGTGTGACGGACAGAATTTATAATTTAATACGAGTACAGAACACATATCTGTCATTTTATTTCTTATGCTCAGACGTGAATACTTAACCCTTAACATAACTTTCTAGTGCTTGGGATGCAAAGCTTTAATTGTGCTCTTCCTGAGGAAATGAGTGTTTCCCATTTGAAAGATAAAAAGGCTGTCATATATATATATATATACTCACCTTCACCCAAGTCACCTAAATATTCACATGCAATGACACATACATGGTCACCCAAGTCACGTCAATATTCACCAAGAGCCCCAACCCTTTCAGGACGTGGACCCTGTGCGGGACGCCTGAGTACCTCGCCCCCGAGATCATCCAGAGCAAAGGGCACAACAAGGCGGTCGACTGGTGGGCCTTGGGTGAGTCACGGGCGGCGGCGCAGAAGGGGATGTGACGCCCTAGCGCTCACTGGCGGAAACCGGACACTGCGCCGCGTGTTGTTGTGTCTGGGGGTTAAAGAGTCAAGTTGTATATGTAGATATTTTTTTCTGGGGTAGTTTGTTAAGCTTCTGGTGTTGTTGTTTTTGAGAACTCGTGATTGTGATCCTGTAGTGTTGTTATGGATGTTCATTAAGCTCATCGTGTAATTGTTCGTTCTGTTTCCTATCTCATTCCGGAAGACATTTTGAGGGCAAAATACACCCGTGCTGCATTTATTAAAACAAAAGACACCTTAAAATCCTTTCCGCCGTCGAACACTCAGTAACGCCCCTCTCCCTCGCGCTCCAGGGATCCTCATCTACGAGATGCTGGCCGGCTACCCGCCCTTCTTCGACGACAACCCCTTCGGCATCTACGAGAAGATCCTGGGCGGGCGGGTGGAGTGGCCGAGGCACCTGGAGGCCACCGCCAAGGACCTCGTCAAGAAGCTGCTCACTCAGGATCGCACAAAGCGCTTGGGAAACATGAAGGTGAGGGCGGCCTGGTGGGGAATGGGCGCGGGCGGGACAGGCTGTGGCGCTTTTTTTTCTCGTTCTCGCTCTCTTTTCTTTTCTCTCTTTTCTACTATTTTATTTTATTTTATTTTATTTTATTTTATTTTTATTATTTTTTCCTTCTTTCAAGCAATTTGTAATACTTTTAGTCATGATTAGTTATGAGAGACGCTAGTCATTCCTACTGTGATAAAAGCTGCACAAAACTTGATATATAGATATTCATTATTGTATGATAATGATGTACCTACGTGGCATTAGCTATTCAGTGTGTTCTTGGTGGATAAAGAAAGCTGCCTTTAGGGGTACTATGAATAAATCACATTATTATTTGTTTTATTGTTACTATTTATCATAATGGTATTGTTGTTGTTTTATTGTTACTATTTATCATAATGGTATTGTTGTTTTACTGTGCAATATTTATCATTGTACATTTTATTATTGTTATTATTACTATAATTGTTATTGTTATCATCATCACATCATCATCATCATAGTAATGTGCAATAAATGCATAACATGAATTTAAAAACTTTGGATATAAACTGTAGAACATCTACTTTGTTATATCATTTTTATAACATTTTAGATTGCAGAGATATTAAAAAGTGTAGATTGGCAAATTTTTAATGGTAATTATGCTAATTTTACAGTGTACATCTTGCTATTATGAGATAACATATGTTTTAGACTTTGGTAACTTTATACTGTGGATTGTGCCATGAGTTATAGTTAAAGTTATAGCTATTGTTTTAGTGCACAGTACACACTAATAGCATGTGGATTGTGTTGTCATTTCATTTGCATACACTGCAAATACGTTTACACTTTATAATTATGTAACTGACTTTTACTTCCCATTTTCGTATCAGAATGGTGCTGAAGATGTAAAGAGACATCGATTTTTCAAGAACACAGACTGGGATGAAGTTTACCACAAGAAATTAAAGGTATTGTTTGTTATGTGTTTTTATGTGTTCTTTCAGTTTGTGAATAATATCATGACAAAAATACTCATAGTTTCCTCTATGTGTGAGCGTGTGTTTGTGCACATTTGAGTGTGCAGTTTGTGTGTGTGTGTGTGTGTGTGTGTGTGTGTGTGTGTGTGTGTGTGTGTGTGTGTGTGTGTGTGTGTGTGTGTGTGTGTGTGTGTGTGTGTGTGTGTGTGTGTGTATGTGTGTGTATATGTTCTTTTTACTTTAAGGAGGAACTATGCAATGCCCATATTGTAGAGCCTTCTATCTCCCCCACCCCCCAGCCCCCCATAGTGCCGAAGGTGAGCTACGAGGGTGACACGCGCAACTTTGACGATTACCCTGAGAACAACTGGCGGTCGACGCAGGGAGTGTCTGACATCGAGTTGGCGATATTCAGTGACTTCTGAGTGTTATGGGTGTTGTGTAGTCTGTGATCAAGGGAGACTCATGTAATTATAATCCGAGTTACGAATGTTGCTAAACGGGTCATGTACAACGAATATTTATTGGTAATTAAACGTAATTTTACTTTGTATATTATGTATGCATTATATAAGATTTAGATCTCAAAGAAAAGAAACATGAAGAGAAATTTATATGTTTAGAAAGAAGATAACTACATAAAAAGTTACAGAGAATAGTTTTATATTTTGTGACACATAACAAGGTTGTCTTGTGGATATTTTTTTCTCAGCTTTATCACAGTAGATTATGATGTCATGCCACATCAACACAACCTGAGGAAACCTCACAAGGCATGAAGCAAACCAGCATAGCATTTGGTGGATCATATTCGTTAGGCTTTATCTGCAATTTTTTGCCTCTGTCACTCGTTTTTCATCTTGATATATTTATTCAACTGTGTTTTTTTTCTATGCCGGTAACTTTTTTTTTTTTTTAAGATAAGGAGATTTTAAGCCATGAAAGTTCTTTCTTTTTATGTTCTACTTTTATCCTGAATATCTCAAAGTGATATTACTGTCAACATGATCTTAGATATTTTTTCTTCTCAGATAAGTACATTTGTCTCATTTGATAGATACAGATGTTACACATTCACAACTCACTGCTGTTCAAGATTCACCATAGGAAAAAATGGTTAGCTCTCCTACACAGCTTATCCTAAGTGGAGTGCCAGGACTTGTGTTGAAAATGAGTTTAAAGGCAAGCATAGGCAAACCATTAGGATGTTCTCCCAAACAGTATCAATTCCCTGGCATCTAGTTGGCTTACACAAAGGTTATGGAATTGTAACTCATCTGATATTTTTTTGCTACTGATGTACCTCTGATGCAGTCTTGATGAAAATGATTTTGTGCATGTACTTTTGCCTTGCACAAGTACTAATGTCAGGCCTTTGTTGATGCAATGAATAATTGAATTATATTTTGTTTTGTTTTTCAGTGCAATATTTATTTCCATTTTACTGAAATCATTATAAGATTTAAGAAAGATAGCATTTATGTTATAGCTAGTGCAAAAAGCTTCCATTACTTGTATTATCAGTAAAACTTTGCCCGCCCAATCAGTTATAAGTTGTCTATATTCAAGTTATTGTTAAAAGTATTTTTTTTTATTCTGAAAGGTTTACAAGAGTCCCCCCCCCCCATAGATCTGCTAATGACATCCACACTTTTATAGATATCAAAAAGACTTTGCAGATTAGCACACAGCCAATAGGAAGCTGTTTCTTTTCTGTTCAGTATGATAAACCAACTCAGGCTCATGGAAGATCAATTTGGACTTGAATTTGCATGGCTGAATATATGTTGTTTCCAGTGCGTACAATGGCAAGATGTCAGAGTGCTTCCAGATGTTAAATTTGTGATGCAGAAAAAAGTACAATAATAGAGAACTCTTTGTGCCTCATATATCCTGGAATGTAACTAGTCTCTGCTAATTACAGTGTGATTACATTGCAAGCTTTCACTCTATTAATGTCCAATTTCCTTTGTCCACATTTAACCAAGATCTAAAATTTCAATCTTTCCTAAAAAAATAAACGATTCTCCACAGCCTTATGTGTTGTGTGTGTGCAGGTAATCTCACCATGTTGTACACACACTCTAAAAAGAGTATGCACACAATTCTCAGGGTGACACTTAATGTATACATGATTATGGCATGTCATACCTGATGTGTAGATTTGGTTACACCCTTAATAGGTCCTGATTGCAAAACTTATCTAGAGCATGTAAACATCTTTTTCACAGTGTGCACATGTAAAGTATATGATACATATGCATGCAGTGCTTATTACACACCCATTACCATAGTGCACCAACACATGCCATCACTCTTGTCTCCAGAATATGGTCACAAGAGATTATCCAGAGAGATTATCCATTTTATCCAGATTACCCAACTGACCTCAACACTGGATCACATAATATAGATTACGCAGACATCCACTGTCATGCATTCACCCCTGTATATTATCAGTCTCATAATCTCATTCATCATGAATAATGTTTCCTTTTTCCATTTGTGCAACAGACTGTTGACTCAGGGAGAGGCAAAGAAGGGATGTGAGGTGTTACAGTACATCAAGATGTGTCAGCAGTATAGTTTTTATTTCATACTCCATAAACATTTTGAATTTCAAAGCCCTTCATGGGTAGATGATCAACTACCACTGGGAATCATGAATGGCATGACACAGGATGGCTTCCAGTACTATAGTTAGCATTTTTATGTTCATGTTCTTAATGTCCTTTCTTATTCCTTTGTACTAATTTATTTGCCAAAAGATTGAAAAGGGACAGACAAGCATTTTTGTCAAGGTAAACATGCCATTGTTTTTACAGTTTCCTTAGTTATTGATCCTTCATTACCTGAAGCCCCAATATAGCTTTGTTTGAAAATGGTGAGTCACATTTGCAAGCAGAAAGACATTTCATCACAGCAAAATTGTATTCTGTAAATATATAGCATTTGAATTATGCTTCCTTTTTTGTTGATCCTTCC